TGAAAATTCGAAAGCAAAAAATATTTGCAAAATAGTGTTGTATACGTTTTTATATATTTAGACCCTCGATATCAAGTTTTATTGAGTATTGAGCAAAAACAAATGGCTAAATAACATTATAAGGATTTATGGCATACGCAAAACTCCATTGTTTACAATATATTGGAGGCTACGACAATATTTATTGGTTGTAGTGATAATAATAAGATAGAAACATTGATGATCTTGAAATTTTACTTTAAGATAGAGAAAAAAAAATTAAATTATCATCAGATAGAAAGGAGGATCAAAAAATGCCTATTGCATCTTTAATAGTAAAGTTCTCAAAAGTTAAGAGAATAAATAAGTATATAAATATTTTAAAATTCTGGGAAAATTCTTCAATATATCCAGAATTATATATTTTATCTAGAATCTTCATGGCTGTACCGGCGACGCAAGTACAATAATTTTATAATGATAACTATCTATTTAAGGTAAGGGTAGAACGTGAATTTTCATCATTAAAATATATATTGTCTATACGTGGAAATCTAAAGAATGATAATTTAGAAGATATTATGATTGTGCGACTGAATCTTTTAAATTTTTCATTTGTAAAATAGGAATATGTATATATTGAAGTATAATAAATAAATGAAAAAAAAATCTAATTTTGAGTCATTATTTTTATGTTCCCTGAACCCCGACAAGAACCCTGGACCCGGGTTCTTTTCAAAATTTATTCCTCTACCTGAACCCAGACCTAGACTCTTTTTTTTTGTCGAAGACTTCACATCCCTGGTTTAAATATCAATTTAGCATTAACAGATGAAGCTTAATTGAATTTTATTATTTAAATTATTAAACTCTAATTAAATAAATATAATCATTTATTAATTGAAAATTAACAAATTTAATATTGTAAGTAGCCGAGTTCAAAACTACTAATCAAATATATTCTTCATTTTTAAATTTAATTACCATGTTTCTTCCTAAAAATATTTCCAAGGTCCAAACAAGTATAAGAAACTTCTTTATAAAAAGTAATTACACATATAGTTGATAATCCTCTAAATGGTTATAAAATATTTGTAAAAATGCCTCTTTTCAGACTTATTTGTGAGTTATAGGATATAAAAACTTTACTTATCAATGCTTTTGATAATAAATATAAGTAACAATTTGCATCCAATTCTTTAACGTCATCTATTTATTTTTAATAAAAAAAATATTATTAAAAATTAAACATCTTATTATTCATCCCACAATGGATGTAATCCTTTCCTTTTTTCCTTTTAATGTGTTTTTATGGAAATTTTTTCTCTTTGAAAAACAGTTTTGAGTTAAATTTTTAATATGAGATTTTTTATATTATTACAAACTATTATTATTTTAAGACATAATATACCAACTATAGGTGGTCCGACATTAATATATAAAATCTTAATTGCTTTCATCATCTAACTCTGGTCCCTAAATATTTTTAGTGTTTTTGTTTTATCAATTTATCTAACACAATAGATTTTGATATGAGTTTACAACATAAGTGTCATGGCTGTGACTGCAAATTAACCTGCATCTATTTTTTGTGTGGCTTGTAATTTAAGATTATTATTTTGATTGCATAATTTAGATAAGCAATAATGGTCAATTGTGTATTTTATATATCATTAAAAATGGAAGATAATAATAATTTCCTCGATTACTTATCTAGCTTCTATAATGCCATCTAGGTCTAACTACCATATAGTTTTATGATTTGGATTAGTCATTTATATTCTCTTCTTCAAGAATTATTGATTTGGTTAGGGCTATTAATTTTTCCTAATTAGTTAATTCTATAAAACATTGTCTATAATATTAACACAACGTTATATTTTTTAATGACCTTTTGTCAATGTAGATTGCTAAGAATTATATTGTCTTGTGTGGTTTTTAAAAACCATTATCAATTGAGGTTAACCTTTATTTATCACTTGTAATTCTTTAGACAAAATTTTTTTTATATCCGCATTTGAAAATATTTAATATAAGTGGATAAATATTTTGTAAAAATATTATCTTTAAAAATGTCATGTGATGTTATAAACCAATTTTTTGAATACTCAAATTAGATGTTGTAGACAGCTGAATTTTTGAGATCTAGAATTGTTTTCATATTCAAACGAAGATAACAAATTAAATAATGAAATTATATCATAGCTTAAATAATATATTAATAGTCTATTTGTTAATAAAACATGAAAAAAATCAACCCGTGAAATAATATTTTAAAGGAAATTTCTCTTCCTTTGTTTTCTATTTTCCCGTTTTCCCCAAATATCCCGAGATTTACATTCTTAATTCTTTACAAAAATATGTGGCGTCTAAATGGCGATTGCAGATATCCCCAACATCATAGATATGGTTCGAATCTAGGAAGAGCAGGGCTTTATCCGAAGCTTACTATGGAGTTGTGTGCTACAGGGTATGTATGATTTATAGAATATCCGAGAGACCGTATCATTCCCGCATTTTATATTAAAATAAAAATGGGATTTTTTTATTTTAAGATGGCCAACGCTATATATTATTATTTTTACTTACAATTTAACTATCTTTATATAATATATATATATGTATTATTACTTTATTAAAATATAAGAAAATTTTTATATTATTATATAAAATTTAATTGAGATCAATGATATTAATGCAAACATTTACTGTCGATTAATTCACTTAAATGCATTAAAATGTGTATATTTATTGAAGTCCGCCATTGAAAGGCATTTTTTGATAAAATGTGATAAACTTAAAAGAAATATGAAAATTATTTAAGAATGCCATATAATGGCTTATACAACAGCTATGACATTGACAGCTTGCTTACTTAAATGTATGTAACCTTTTAGTAAATGAATTACCCAACTTGGCTATATAACTAAACATTGATTGGGGATACAATACTATAATCGATAAAAAGATATATTATTTATGGATTCAGATTAATTAAATTATTTGCAGTTGCAACTATTTCCGCTTGTAACCCTGCATTCACCGTTAGCGCGAATTTGAGCCGAAGTTACAAAAATTAATGTGAAATTAATCGTTTATATCATATTTTGTATACTTCGCCGCGAATCATTGTAATGCGAGAGATCCCTGGTTAATTTCCCATCTGTGAAAACTTTTGGTAAAATAAATTCTATTAATCATTTTACCTATAACAAGGTTATTTTATTTTTTCACTGTTAACATTTTTAACTTATTTTATTATTAATTATCCTCTTATCATTTATCATTGTTGTTTTTAAAATATTGCCTTTTTTTTTAATCTTGCACTTTAATAAAAATTTTAAATTTTTAGTCAGCCAATTTTTTTAAAATATAAATAACCTTGTTATTTTATTTTTCATTTCTATGTTTACCTGTTAAGCTGAAAATATTTAAAATACTTAATTATTAGAGATATAAAAACTAATTTTATAAATATATATCAGTTAAAAATAATTCAATTTAAAAGCTATTTAATCTTAAATTCAAGATCATATACCACAATTACGGTCAATGTTATTCAATTTAAAAATTACTATATAATCTTCCTGAAAAAAAAAATATTCTTAATAATTTTATTAAAAAATTCCAAAAAAATGATTAATTTTTTTGCGTTTCTATTAACTTTCGTGCTAACTTTTGTGTGTATTAAAAGTAATTAATAACTTGCATTTAAACATTTATTTGTAAATTCTCTATTATTTTATAAGTACTGGAAGCTGATACAAGTATATTAAGTTTTCTTTATTACTTATTTTACATATAATTTTGGATAATAATTATAATTTTAAAATAAGATAATAAAGGGTTTGGAAAAACTACTCTTTATTAAAAGAGAAGTTTATATTAACTAGATAAAACTAAGTATGCCTTTAGTCTCATAATAAATATGTGAAAACAAAATTATTAATATTTTACTTTCGATTAAAATGGAAATAATTTATATACTTCACTTTCAATGTTAGTTGAAGTAACTTTCTAATAATTAAACTAAATTTAAAACTTTCAATTACTTCACATCAGAGACCTGCAAATGTACCATTTGCACGGATTTCTTTAAAATATTTTCGGTCCGGCCTGGATCGGGTTTTATATTTTCAGTCTTGGCCCGGATTTTTTAAAAATATATTAGATTTATTTTTAATTTTTATAGCTAACAATGGTGATTTAAAATATCTAGTTTTTACGCCCCGACCCAACCAGGGTATTTTTTAAAGAAAATTTTTTAGGCCCTGCCCGGATTAAGAAGAATTAAAATACGGCCCGGGCAGTGTACCAGAGCTTGCAGTTCTCTTTGTCACATAAATAATTTGTTAGCTTTCAATAAGTTAAATGTTCCTAGTCTGATATGTTTTTGACTAATGATACATTACAAATCATAAATAATCCCCCACCCCTCCCAGCTCAATTAAAGGGTAAAAAATTTAATTAATTTGCTAAAATGCTTAAAAATTGATCAAAATACTAATTCAGTATAAAAAATATTTAGGAATCTTATGTGGCAACTAAGAGAATCATTTGTTCCTTTTATTTAACAAATTTTTCCAAAAATATATTCCAACATGTATATCATATCCTTCAGTTAATTTGATCGCGAACTTATGAACCATTTTTATTTATGTACTGCAAATTGAATTCGCTATATATTAATTACCCGAATTTACTATATGATTAACTAAGCTACAAAATCTAATATGAAATATATAAAAAAAAATATGTAGAAAAAACAAAGCACGAAAGAAAAGCTTTTACGTGGATTTTATATAAATTTAAAAAAAAATGGTTTAAATTTGTTAAATTCAAATATTGTAATATAACTCATTATTTCGAAATACAAAATAGTTCGCAAAAAAGGTGATTTGATTACCAATAAAAAAATTTAGGAAACCAAACTAGTTCATTAAACATAAAATTCATTTAAATATTTTACAATATATATTGAATGTTAATTTTTTTTTAAAATAAAAATTCTTCCGTTTAGCCAAAAGGATAATGTTTTGTATGCGTCTTGGGATGAGTAAACCATTAATATTTTGTAATTTAACAATAAAAAATTTAATATCATTTTAGCCAACAACATAGAATGTGAACGAGAAGGTTATTATTTATTAGAAACTTTAAATTTTAGTAACAATCTATTTATTATTAATTTATAGATCACTCTTCAATAAGAACCGTACCAGGTTCATATATTTTAATTAATTACTGCTTAAAAATAATGCTATTATGCATTGTAAAATTATTTATTTTTGATTAAAGATTTATATGTAATGTTATGCTACCAATCAAAATTTATTCCATAATTTTTTTAAAAAATATGTTATAATAGAACATGTTGCATCGATTATATATGGTAGGTTCTTTACTTATATGAATATCTAATAAAATATTTAAATTTATAGGTTACTTACTTAATACGGATCATTACATTGAAAGTAAATGATTTATATTTTTCCACTTTTTTAAAATTTTACTTAAATATTCACTATGTTTAAAAATAATTTAAGCTTCTGAATACTGGATTGGAATTAGTAATTTATAAGATATTAATTTAAAAATTATTGAATTGAATGCTCTAGGATTGGGAAATGAAAATTTTGCTATTAGATTAGGTAAATAATTATTTAAAAAATCATTGAATGTCGCATAATTTTTATATAGAACAAATTGATGCACCTATCGGTAAATAGTATATTTTTCACATGAAAGATATATTTTATATCTAAGAATATTATAAAAATTTTTGGAATATTAATATTTATTTATAAGAATTAGATAAAAAAAATATCTTTTTTTCAGGGATCATTCTTATACAAGAAAGAGATCTTCCAGCTGATTAGGATTATATAGTATCTTATCTTGTATTTTATAATTAAAAAAGATACCAGAATTCTAATATACATAGCTGACTCACTAAGAAAAAAAAGCCTTAAAGCCATTTGTTAATATTAATAAGTTTCTCTTGTTTATGAATTTAACGTTAGAAATGGCTAAGCTTTTTTAAAGAATAAATATTTTAATTAATGATTCTTAATTTTAAAAATAAACTAAGAAAGATTAATAATATTTTATAATAATTTATGTGTCAGGTTGTGTCCCACAAAAAAAAATAGGAAATAGAGAAATTATGAAAAAAATTTGACAAAGTTTCGAATTTTTTATTTATTTTTATCTTATATATTGCTTTTACCAGTATAAATAAAAAAGAAACTTATAACAATAATATAAATCAACAATATTTATTTAGATGATATTTCTTGTTATTTTATAATAAATTTTCAAAATATATTCTATTATATTATACCTTCTAAATCTTACTTTCTAAATTTAGCTTTTTTCATCTTATTCATTGCTTGAATTTTGGACTTAAAGTTGGGGTAGCAATTGGGATCTATACATCATCTCAAATTACATTTTTTTATAGTATGATAAATCACTTTTTATAAAGTATATTTTTTAAAAAAATTATCATCTAAAAAATGAATTGAAATGGCTTCCTAAAATTGCCATAAGGAAAGGTAGAAAAAAAACTAAGTTACACAAAAATTCTAGTAAAATATGGATTATTGAATTGATACTATTAATTTAGTCTTGTTGCAAGTGGGGAAAACTTGCACAGACGTTGGGGTTTGAGTCGATAATAATATAAGAACTATTTTGATAGTGAGACGATTATTTATTATTTTATGTAGTTTTATTTAAGAAAAATGTATATAATATTTTATGTGTAAAATATATAATATATACGAATTTAATTTTCTTTTTAAACAGTTTACTTTAAAACTCAAAAAAGAATGTATATAATATCCAATTATCAAGTCACAATACAATATAAAATTGCGTCTTAAACATTAAAATATTATTTTACAATATTTACAATCATGTAATAAGTCTAATATTTTAATATAGATTATATTTATAATAACAATATTCTTAGAAACTATTGAGCAATCATGAAAGACATATAAACTTGTCATCCATTTAATTTTTTGTTTGATATTCTTTATAAAATGTTTTAATTTTTAAATATATAGTATCTGAAGCCATATCTACGATAAATTCAAGTATTTTTAACTTTAGTGAGAATATCATTTATTTAAAAAATAAAAATTTACTTCAAAGAGGAATGTCAAGTGTAATGATATAAATGGGAACCAATTACTAGGAGAAAGAATATTTTTTTTCCGCTGGAGATTTTTTAAAATCCTTAATTAAATAAAATTAATAAAATATTATTTCCCAATTAGCATTTATTATCCTCGCTAACTTATCTATAATCAGTTTATTACCTCATATAATCCAATATATTTTAAAGTTATGTGTCTATATTTAAATATTTTAAATTCATGTTGTATCTGTATCAATTTTGCAGAAACATTTATCTGCTGCATCTCTGATAATTTAGGATATAAAGAAAAATTGAGTGTATCATTTTTTATAGACAATGATCTGAAAAAATGTTCAACTATTGTTAAAATAGAAAAATAGTTTACTGTAAGAAAAAATAGCTTAATTCTATAAAAGTTTTAGACCATGTAAATTGGTCAATAGACACTCATGTTCAAGATTCGAGCAATATTTTCTAATTTATTATTACCGAAGAGATGATTTTTATTTTATAGTATCATAATAATATTATTTAAAGTACTTCAATGTTTTACCGAATTTACCACTTAAAATTATTGATCCCAGAAATTTAATATTTATAATAATGTTTTTTTATAAATATGGCAATATATTCGCCATCTTTCTTATTCTCTTTTACAAGCGTAATGATTTTATAAGTATGACTACCTCCTTCGAACCCAATGTCCTACCTGCCGGAAATTTATACATTTAACAAATGAAGGTGTTTTTTTATGTCCATGGATCAATTTCCAACAGGTATCATTCAAGACTTACTCCTCTCTCCATCGCTTACTCACTTCGCAACTCATTCATGGAACCACCTTCAAACCCCGCCTTTAATACCTCTTTCCAATTTTTCTCAATACTACAAAACCAAGTGTCCAGAATACTTAAGGGAGCGAGAATACAAGTTGCCAAATCTCTCAGTGACTGCATCCCCTCTCCTTCAAATTTTTAACAATTAAGAAGAATGGTTAAAATTCTTTTACTTCGGGAACAACACATTTAAAATACGGGACAAATCAGTCCAGAAATCCATAACTCAACAAATAAACGCCAGTTTAAACCTCCTTAGCCGTCTTCAAGATAACCCAAATCTATTCACATTTAAAAAACAAAAAAAAAGTAACCCCACTCCAGCATAAAGATCTCGAAGAAAATCGATAGTCTTAATATTAAAGGTGCTCTCTAACTCATTTCGATCAATGATACCCTTGCTGATTTCTCAGAAGAAACCTTAATCAAGCTCCGCTCAAAACATCAAACTCCAATAATCAATGCCTTACACGCATTGTGCTGCAGACTTCACACAAGAAGGAGTAAGGAGCAATCCTATCTTTTCATCGAGACTCTGCGCATGGACTTGATGGGATTAGACAGGACATAACCACTCCCTTGATTTTAACACAGATTTCAATTCTCCCCAAATTACCAACTTATGCAATAAAATCTTAAAAGGAGATGTGCCAAGCTTTATAACCCCCTTGCTATTTGGAGCCAGACTCATCGCGCTCCAAAACAAGGATATCCGGCCCATCTCCATTGGTACGACTTATCGAAGATTAGAAGCAAAATTAATTTCCTCCAGAATAAAATACAAAGCATCACACATCCTCAGCCCTTATCAATAAGGTGTTGGCGTACCTGGTGAATGTGAAGCTGTAGTACACTTAACAAGAATTCATATTGAAAATAACCCAACAAACGTAGTGAAAATCGACTTTTCCGACGCATACAACACTTTCCCCACTTGTTCCTACTTCCCTGCTTACACCAAATTTCTTTTTTCTTGTTACCAATCCCCTACAATTTTACAATTCAACTCGGAAAAAATACTTTCAGTAGAGGGTATTCATCAAGGCGATTCTGAAACTTTACCTTTTAGTCTAGAAATCAATAACATAATAAAAACAATAAACTTGAACTTTATCGCTGATAAAATCTTAAGTGGTTTCCGCAATGAATTTAACAAAGCAGGCAAAATAATTCTTGAAATGGGCATTGCCATTCGAATCTCTCTTAACCCGAGCAAATGAATTCATCCAATTAAATTCAAACGCTACACTCATAATTTCAAATTCACTGTTATTAATGAATTAACACATCTTGGTTCTCACGTAGGAGGACATGAGGCAATTTGTACCTTCCTTCACTCCACCCTTGAAATCATTCTTAAACTGGAGGACATCTTTACTCATCTTCCCTCATACAAGTCCTTTTTCTTATTAAAGAATTTCTTTTTTATAGGATTCTTTAAGCTCTTCTCTCAACACCCATTTTTAAATATCCTTCTCCATTAAAAACATACGAAAACGGAATAAAAGACCTAATCAAAAAAATAATAAATCTATGAGTCAACGAATTCGCTTGGGCGCAGGTTTCGCTCCCCACTAAATCCGGTGGACTTGGCATTAGATCACTTTATGATCTAGTAATAAACTCTTTCATATTTAGTAATCTCTTGTCAAAGCAAATAACCAACGCCCATCATTCTAAAGAAGATCCTTGGAAGCCATAAATACATAGAAAACTTGAATCAACGTTAATTTTTATCACCCCACAACCCATAGACAGAAGGATTGGGATGCTCCGGTAGTTACAAGCTGCGTTGAATTTTTTTTTATCTAGCAAGCAATTAACTGACCGCGCCCTATTCTCTTCCCTGCTATAATACTGGGCATTAGTTTATCGAGGCCATTCCTTCAGTCAATCTTCAACTTTCCAACAACGAACTTACCCACGCTATCGGAATTCGTCTAAATAGCTCAAATAACCACCCTCACATCTGTTTAGGCTGTAACACGCTCGTTGACACTAATGAAAGACTTAGTTAACATTAACGCTCCTGCAATGGTCGATTCATCAGACACAGGCAATGTAATTCAATAGCACAAATCCCATCCCTACTTAAACCCCAGGGTCTTTTCAGATCTGATATCTGATAGTAAACGACCTGATGGCATCACTCAAATTCCGTGGAGGAGAGGCCAATTATTGGTATAGGACTTTGCATGTATTGACCCCCTTGCCAAATCTAGCCAAGCTTTATACATAATTGACCAGAAGGAACAACTTAAAACCTCAAAATACACAGAAATTACTAATGACCATTGTTTCATTCCAATCCACACTTACCACCTTCGAAAAATTTGCCTTAACTTTTTCCAAAAATTTAGGATCTTAAATCAGCAAACACTCGAAAGAACCATGAGAGGTTTTTCTTTGACAAAGGCTTGCCATAGCAATCCCTAAGGCCAATTATATTAGCTAATGGTAGTCTACTAGCCAAAGAGCTATCCTAGACCCTTTTTTTCGCTTAATACCATCCCCGGTCATCATTGTTATTTTTAAAATTTTTTATTCATATCTTTTGTCGCATTTTATTATAGACTTACGTTCATATATTCATTATTATATGTTATAATATAATACGAATTAAATTAACAAACTAATTTATATATTGTGTTATACAATAATAAATAAGATACTTATTAAAAATTTTTACTTGCACATTCTTCGCCTTTCCTTTATTAAATTTATATATTTATACAAAGAAAAAACGGAAATGTTTAGAGGTGTATTATTTTGACATTTATTTTTTCATTATCCAAATTTCCTATTCATTTTCCTACCTCTAAATTTTTCCTGATAAAATATTTTAGGGAAATGTAAATTTTTAAACTAGAGAGAAATAAATAATTTATACATTTTTTTAAGACATTATAGTAAAACGACTAGGTATTATACATATTTATTATGGTAGGAAATAAAAATTATATCAAAAATATATATACATTAATACCATTAAGCAAGAATTAAAAATAAAAATAATTAATTATGACCATATTAGCATTTGATGTAACTATTAATTTTGTTAAACAAATTTGTAATCTATGAAGTTTGCAATTATTTTAAATTATATATAAATTAGAATTTAATATAGAATATAAATTTTAAAAAAATTGTCGCCTTTAGAAAATGTAAATGGAACCCTAGGAATATTTTTAGGTAAAATATAAATAATTTTTTTTAAAATTTTATTAGAACAATACTAAATAATGCTTCTCAACGAATTAATTTAAAATAAATCTTATAAATATAAGCCTTTTTAGGAATCTATTTTAGGTTTATATATTTTTCCATATGTAAATGAATGATATCTGATACACTTGATATATCGTCGGTCACCTGAAAAACCTCCTAAGTGATTTCTTAAATTATATAGTTCTTGCAGAATGATTCATAGGTCCTCCACCAACCTTTAAAATATCGAACTCATAATTATTTATTAGAAAATGTTTTTTATCACACTGGGGTACTAGACCATATCCGCCTATATTTTAATAATGGCAAATATTTAATGAAAAAGGCTTAAGAAGAGGCATGCATTAAATATAAATCCTGAAATATATTTAAAAATTTGTTGAAATAGTGATAAAGGAAAATTTGAATATGTATATGTGTTTGGAAATTGAAAAGAAAACGGTTATTTTAATATTAATTAAATGTAGAGTTAAGATTTTTTGTAGTTAATGATATTCAAATATTAAACGTTATGAATTTAGTTTTAATAAATAGTTTTTATTTTTATAAAAAAATTGTAATTTGATTAAATTAATAAATTAATTTACTGGTTTTATAATTTAGATTAATTTGGTACTTAATTGCACGAGCTTTGCAGTGTGACCGATGTGTTAATAAAAAAATATTGGAAGAAATCACTATGATTTTTAAAAAGGGCATTATGTGACCAAATACATTGACTCAAGCTATAACACATATTATTGTCTATCGAATTGAATATCAAATAAATTATAATATTTTTTCCCCCTTTTCTTCTAGGAAGAATGTCCTATTTTATGTTAGCTTTTGGAGAAATGACAATTACATCTGTTAGAGGTATAAAAATAATCATAGTAATTTGGGAATTAACATGTATTTTTAAAAATAAAAAATTAACCAGATAAACCATACGCTCTACTAATTGATGGTACAACAAATAATATTATTTCTTCTTTATATCATGTTACCAAAAATATACGTAATCAAGCAATATGTTGATATTTTATAAAATGAGCCCATTTTGTAATGTAAAGATCTGATTTTGCCCATGTATTCAAGTATATGCGTAAAACACCTATTAATTTTACACAAATTGATCAAAAAAGATTTGTTATCTTCATTTTATAAAAGAAAATCATATTAAAATTACTATTATCGGAAATATTAATCAAGTAGTACACGTCTTGTTTGTCTTGCCTGATTTAGCACATCGCTGATTACATAATATATAAAATTTTACGCTTTAAATTTAATAAAAAAAAATCTTTTGTTACTGAGGAGAAATTTCTTATACCAGGTTTTAATATAATAAATGAATCCAATTCAATTATATTTTCTTTCCATAAAGTTCTTGACAAAAATTAAAAAGTCGATATATCTAGCGCGAATTAATTTTTTAAAATTTTTATTTTTGAAAATTTTTACCAAAACTAAACAAAAAAAAATCCTAACATTTTTTACTATGGCAATTTTTAAACATGGTAATATTTAGAAAATCTGAATTAAAGAGAAAAAAATTGGAATGCTTTCTAACAAACATTATATGCCTATTCTTTTTACCATCTAAAAATATATTTTAACCTACTAATTTATTCAAGATATATTATACATTTATATATAACTATTTTATTAGACGTGGAAGCGCAAAATTTAAGTAAATATATTGATCATTATTTTTACCAAATTGATATTCTTTGGTTGTAAATTCTTGGAGATATTATTTTACTAATAAAGTTGTTGAGTATATATCATTTCCGAGTAAAGTAGTATTTAATTCTATCAGAGTAAGCGGACAACGTGATAGTTGAAAGATAATAAAATGAACATTTTTTTAAATTTTCTATAAATTCTGAATCCCTGATCGAAAGGATAATGCATTTCTATCTGAGATTTATTAAAAACAATTTCTATAATATAAAATGCCCCAATTTCCTCAAGAGTTGATGCATAGCTTATTAAGACTAAAAATACTATGTTGAGAGTAATGAGGGCAAAATCCCTCCCTCGCGGGATAAAAAGAATTTGGATCTAATGTATAGCCCCAATTGGTGGGAGTGGGTCCTTGTCCAGGTTATCTTTCACAAAATAATGGAATGATTTTTTAAATATAAAAAAGATCTATATTAAAAAAAAACTAAATATTTGTTAGAATCCTCCAAAATATATTTCTCATTCTTTGATATAATCTTGGCGCACTTTGTAGATGGAACAAGACATTTATAAGGTTGCTTTTATGGAAATAGTAAAAAAGTTTAATTTGAAAAAATAGAAATTGATTTGGCCCAATATTGTGGTTATTGATAATGAAATTTTAATTTATCAGTAATAATTACCTTCATAACTTATTATAGAAATAAAAATGACAAAACCCTTTCGCGCCCAGAGAGATCATTTGTCTTCAAAATTTTTAATCAATTAATTTTTATATTTAAAGAAACTAATGGTTGGTACTTAGAGATATTAATTTATAAAACAATATTTATTATTTCGTATTTAATCATTAACTTGTCAAAATCATTATTTTATTATATCAAAATGTAAAAATCACTATTTTATTATCAAAGTACAAATATTTTTTGTTCATGGGGAAATATTCCGGGCGCGAAAGGGTTTATATACATTTTCTAATATTTCAAATTTGATTGGAGGCTCATTTTATGTGAATAGAGTAGTATTTAGAGTTTTTTCAAATATGGTCGAGAGAGTTAAATATATTTATATATTAATTATTTATTTTTTTTATTATTGTTTAAAAAAAAAGATATATAAAGGGATAAAAAAAAATGTAATTGAGGATGGAAAATAAAAATGTAATTTGTCATAACAAATTAAATGACACAAATCAATATATATATAAACATAATATGATATACATAATCGGAAAAAATATATATATATATTAGATATTTAAAACATAATTATTTAATTATAACGAAAAATATTTTTTTGTGGTTAAAATCTAAATATAGTTGCGATGCAAAATAAAATTAACAAAACAGTTTTTATTATATAATAAATAACTATATTTGATAAACTAGGAGGGAAAGGGAGTGTTTCGAAGAAACATTTGTAGTTCCCCTTTAGGATATCAAATTGGACTTTTTGTTTAAGAGATAGGGACTCATTTTTGACCCCTGTCCTTAACGAATTCTTCTACCCAATTGATTTAAGAACTTTAGGGATTGGGGACCGGGGTTTCCAAGGACGCTAATTAGGGGAATAGTTAATTCCTAATTTTTTACACTGTTTTTTTAATAGAGAGAAAAAATCAATAAAAACAATTTTTAAAAATTTTATTACTTTTTGATCAACAAAGATTTTAGTTAGCCTACAAAATGTTGAATTTTGTTATTAATATTTTTAAAAATAATTTTGATCATCTAACGGAATATATTGATATCATGTCTAAATTTTTTTAAAAAAACACTTGTTTAGTACCAAAAGTTATGATTTGCAATCGCTTGAATTTTAATAGTAAGCCATTATTAATTTATATTGTTTGATAATATAAAAGATAAATTAATAACTATTATAGCCAATATCACTTGTATTAACGAAGGTAATTTATTGAAATAAAAATTGGAAATTTTATCCTTATAATCCAATTATATTCATAGAGGGCGATGCCATAAAAACAAGAAGAGGTTCAAAACACCAAAAAAAATTGTAAGGAGAACCGGGGCAAAACAGATCTCTTTATAAATATCAGCTGCCAGTTACATAGAACAGTAAATGATATATTTAAAGTTTAAAAAACCAAAGCACATTGGATTAAGTAAGGGTATATAGGACCATCTAACCTTAGTAATTAGTCTTGATAAAATATGCTAGAAAAAATACTAATAGAGAATCATAAGATATAAAACTCATACATATAATACTTTCGTTTGTTATACCATAATATGATTATTAATCTTATTAATCTTATTCCTGCCAAAATTAATTGCTAATTTTATAAAATTTTCACGATAAGAAGAATATATTTGAGAATCATATTTAAATCAGTCTATAGGACACCATTTTATCAAGGGATGTACATCATAGTTTACCTATTATATCATTAAATTTAAAATCTTTATTTAATCTGCTTTGATATAAAGTAAATTAAACTCATGTGTCCTTTGGACCGTTGAGCCCCGGTCTCTCCTACATGTTCTTTTATATTTTTATTACAAATTATTTAGTCAGATATTTTATAATATCATTGAATATAACATTTTTACGCCTTATCTTTTATAATAATAGCAAACGTTTTAACTGTTGTAAATTTAAATGGTAAGGTTATTTTTAAACATTTTTAAATATAAATATAAATAAAAATATTTATTTTTTTTATAGAATACATACATAACATGGATTATTACATCGAGAGTAATATTATTTCACAACTTTATAAACTAAAAAAAACAATTTAAAACACAATATTTAATATTTTAAATATATATTCAAAGGTACAGATTTATGGATTGGAATAAGTAAATTATTAAACAAAAAATTTTTTAATAATATAAAAATGATATAATTGAAACTGTTAGAAATTGGATCGAGTGGAAGCCTGACTCTTAACCACGGTATAAAATTCTTAATAAATTAATTCCATAACATAATTTTAATTTAGTACAAGAAAATGCACCCACGAGTAAAATATTATATAGTATTTTTTTTCAGAAGATATTTTTTATAGTTACTGGTATGTCTTACCGTTACTCTCTTTTCTTTTACTAATTTCCATCAGCTAAGCAAATATTACTTATGGTTCTTGCAAAAAAAAAGAGTTTAACCTTTCTGTCTTCATTTGGCAAAATCTAGGAACAATATTTGTTTAAAATCCTCATATAACCTAAAAAAAATTTTTTTTTGTTTTTGGAAACTTTTAAGGCCATTATAATTTTTTAACAAATTATGTTGAAAATATTGTCATTTCAGGAATTGCTGGAGGTAATTATAAAGATTAAGCTTATTTCAGAAACGAATTGATTTTATTAGTTTGATTCAGAATGGATTTGTAAGATATTGTGAATGCTAAACTGTACTCGTTCAAATATAAATATAAAAATTTTATTTATTAAAAATCCAATAAATGAGAATTTTTAATTAAAGATTAGGGTTTTAAACTAGGAATCCAAACCAAAAAGAATATCGGTTCGGTTAATAAAAATATCGGTTCAAGGTTCGGTTCTTACAAAATAAACATATCTATTTGGTAAAACCGGTTTGAACACTTTTGTGTACAAACTTAAATTCAAATTATGTTTATTTGTGATATTTTGATTTTGTTGAGTTTTAGAGGGTATTTTCTTTTCTAGTGATGCTCAACAACGTTGTGCCCATTCATAGTTGTGTCACAATCAGTGATATTAACTTTGATGTGTCATTTATAATACTATATGTAAATAATTTATATTTTTCGTTTCAATTTATCTCCTGGCATTATAAGTAAATTATAAGATATCTAGACAGATACTGAGATATGTTTATAAAAATTGTGACCAACCTTTAACAGTCAAGACTGCTTGATAATAATCTCTAAAACAATTTGAATATAAACTAGAATTTTAACAATAGTATTAACTTTTACACTATTTTATAAGCACAAAATCATGAGGTTTGAAACGAGAGCGGTTCGGTTTAGGTTGGGCTAGATATTTTTTTAGGGTTCTATAAAAAATAGCGGTTTAAAGGTTTGGTTGAGGTTTCAGTTTGGATCCATGTTTTAAACTAACTTTTATTATTTTATCTTTATTTATTTCATATCCTTTTAATAATAAGGTGTTAAAATATATTAAATTTAAAACACTGGAAATTAAAAAAAAACGCAACTGTGACCATCGTATTCATTTTGATTCTATAATGCACTATTTTTTAAAAATCTGATAATTGAATTTTAAAGAATTTTAAATTTTTATGAGATACAATCTAATTTAATACTTATTTTATAGACATAAAGATATAGAGAGTCTGTATCTATATCCATCTCTATATCATTTTTAAATGTCATATACTTCATTCCAATTGAGATAAGGATATTTTTATTTAAAAATTTTTTTTAGATAGTTTTGATCTAAATTTCGTTTTACTACTCGATTAAATTTTATAGCAAAGTAATTCGTTAATTGTTTTTTTTATTAGTAATCTTTTATAAAAAGATCAAATTAAAAAAAAATTTGGTTTATAGTAAATAATAAAACCTGATAAATTTTTGGTCAAATTTAGTAGATTATAAGTTTTCAATAATGTATATTTATATTCCATAAGTGTTTAATTTGGTTACAATTTCTTAATATATAGTACTTATAACAAGATACTCGAGTAGTTTAGGTAAAATAACTTAATAACAATGATTTTAAAGCATATTTGATGCCATTAGATGTGATAGCAGATCAACTAGGTATATATATATATTTTTTTTACCTTTAATTTTATTTTCTCATATAAATATAGGCAAATTATATTAATGGTTTATGGGAGAAATATGATTTTATTAACATATTTTTATCAAATCTAGACCATATAAATGGCACCCTGATAATATCTATAGGTATAATTATAATTAGTTTAATATAAATATTTATAAATTTAGTTTGATTGGAATTAAGTTATTGAAGAAATCTTATGATTCTAAGACTGAATTTTAAAAGTTTAGAAAATTTTTGTAGATCTATTTAACTTTACTAATAATTTAAATGATATCAATTTCATTGATTATTATTTAAGAAAATTATCAATATTAAATATTAAGAGGGGGGGGGGGTGTCATTCTTTATAATATTATATAAACTCCATCAGCTGTTAAATCACCATAAATCTTGCTTACTATAAATAAGGTTTGACTGATAATACCAGCTTGAGTATATCAATCAATATTAAATTTTATCTCTTTTAGGAGCCAACGAAATTTTCCGTGGACCAGGTATACAATTTAATTTATATAGGGACATCCAAAGCCTTTTTAGGCTTTTACTTTTACAAAGTAATTACGTATTGAGATGTAACTATCCAAAAGTTGGCATCTTAATACATTATCATTTTATAAAATTTAAATTTAAATAATTGGGCATAAGGTAAACCATAATTAATTTTATAATATTTGTTTAGTCTCCGTGTTTACCTACATTCGAAACTATAGAATAGGTAAAATATACAAAAAATTTAAGTGTTAATTAACTTGATTTCAAAAAAAATTTTTAGACTTTAAACCATACATTTTACAGCACAATGGTATTCTAATAATATAATTTATTATATTATTGATTTACAACAAAATTTAATAAAGAAATTCATTATTTTAAAGTTAAATTTTTTTAAATTTTATAAAGAGTTTTTGAGAATACACAAATTTCATTATTTTATGACTTTGTAATATTTCTGTTGTTAAATATTTTCAATTATTAATTCACACTTTGAAGGTCATTAATCAATTTATCATTTGTTATTTCTGATCATTTAATTATTATTATAAAGGATATTATCCATTTACCTTCTATATTCATTAATAATTAACATTTCACATCATAAAAAGACATTTATTTCACAATAGTGCTTATAAAAATCTTGTATTTTTTAAAATTTATAATGTGCTTCGGTTTCGTTTACTTGATTTTATAAAAATATATTTATAAATATTGAAATAATACAAACATATCTATATATTAAAAGGAATTGATATGAATATAAGCAGGAGTCAATAATTACTAGACTACAATCCTACTCATTGCTGATTTAAATTTGGATTTATATTTATTATTTAAATTAGAAATACTTTTGTTTTATATTGATTAATTCTGGTATTCGATATATTAATTAATGATGTATCAACGCTTCAATTTATATAATAAAGAATTTTAACACTGCTTATATATTTTAAGAGGAAAATATAATGCAAAATAATTATTTTGCAGGAAAGTATGCCTAAAGTTATATTATTTAAAATAAATTATTCTGATTCTTTAAGCAGGCTTGTGCTAAGAAGGGATATTGACTAAAATTTGATTCTGGTATTTTATTTTATTAAGCAAAATCTTAGCTTTGTTTAACGATCTTATGTATGATTACAAGATGTAAACACTCGGATCCCATAATGCTTATACATTTATATGTGTAAGAAAGATATGTGGAGCTGGCTATATTCCCTAAATATGTCAACATGGGTATCAATTGTAAGCGAATCAAAAGATTTTTTTTATTGGAAAAAACATTTCTGAAAATATTAAAAATAAATTAACATGCTAAAAAAAATATCTTATCATTTTAGCAAATAAAATTTTAAAAAAGCTGCTTTAATTCCTTTATAAAACTGTAAAATAAAAAATTGCTATATAAGAATATATTAGCGCTCGTTGCACCTCTCACGTAGACCTAAAAATAAGAGGGTGTCAGAGAAAAATTATGCACCAATAGAAAAAGAGCCAGGAGCAGTATTGTTTGAAATGGAAAAATTTTAAACTTTCATTTTTGAACGAAAATTTATATTTGAGAACAGATCACAAACATTTGGAAAAATTATTATAGTTGAAATTGGTAACGTAGTGTTTAAATTTAGGGGAAATGTGCCATGAATGGCCATGTTTTTGCTTTTTTGAAAAAAATGTATTAAAATTTATGTTTAACCAAACAAATTTTTTATCAATGTGTAGCCTAAATATTAATCTTTAAAATAAAATTTGAATCAAATACGTATAATACTTTATGAGCTTAATGAGATTATGTAAAAGTTGTTTTTCTGGCCAGTCAATACATACTATGTATTGACTCATATAATATGTGTTAACTGGTCATAATATATTATTTAAGAACTTTATTAAAAATATGAAATAATACAATATGAAATACTTGTAAAAGAACTCTATATGTATGATTTAAACTTTTCCCTCATTAGTATTAGAATTATGGAGTGGCTGAGTAGACTTAAAGTCGTCAAAAAAAAGTTTCATCCTCCTCGAACTATCTCCTTCGAGATTTAATTCTTTAGTTATTATATCTACTCTAGAATAAGGTACCCTTCTCGGTGGTATAATTTTTGGCTTAGCATTTGACTTTAGTCGTAACCTGACTTGCGATAACAGGTTTATTATTTAATTTAGACTTACAATTGGATATTAATTCCGCCAAATCGTGTTTATAATCTGTGTCAATTAAGCCTATAAATCATTCAAGTATGTTTTTAAAATGTTTTAACCAAGATCTTCCTAATAAAGGCATCTTGTTGCTGTTTACTATCAATGCATCTAAAATTTGAGAACTTCCTTCGCATTCTACATTCATTCGTGTTGAGCCTATCACTTGTATGGTCTTGCCGTCGTAACCAGATAACTGAATGTTGAGAATTGTGAATTTCTTGCCCGTGTCCACTTGTAGTGAAGTCAAGATGTTATAAATTTTGATGTTCACCATGTATGCGTCATCTTTAACATTTTGTACTTCATTTTCTACCTTATTTATATCAATATTTAACAAATTATAATCTTTCTTATCGATTGATTTGATTTTGTCGTCTTCGATCTCTTCTATATCAACTGTATTAATTTTATTTGAATAAGGTACTTGGTGTCTAGGATTATGATTCATGTAATTTTTATTGTCACGATCGTAAAATTGTTGATGCACGTTAGATCTATTATAACCTCTAAAATTTTGAAACGATTGTCTGGTGTTGTCAAATCTGTTGTGGTTTTTGAAATCATTAAAAGGCTTGTAATTATTATTATGTCCTTTGTTGTTAATATTAAGCTATTATTATTGTTATCTCTTGTGTCGTGATTATTGAAAGGAATATAAGAAGTTTCTCATCTATTTTGATCACAAAATCTATCATAATTTTGTCTTGGAAAATGATAGTTAATTTGGTTGTTGAATCTTATGTTGCCATAATATGGTCGAGTCTGCCATGGTTAACTGATGGCTGTAATTTTTATCATGATATCTGTTGCTCTCAACATATGGCATCATCTGGGTGTTGTCATATCTAATTAGTTGGTTTTAGTTCATAAACTTTCTTACCTTGTCTTGCTCCCTCCAAATGTTTTAGATCGGAGTGTGTATTTTCTTTAATAACAACAATCTTATGTATAGATGTTTCGATGTCTGTTTCGTCTAATTCTTTGCCTACCTTTATAATGTCATCTAAAATGAGTAAATCTTTAATTCTGTATTTAATTTCCTTAGACAGCGAGGAGTGATACACCCCCATAAGTTATATTTCTATATCATTTTGATGCACCTTCCTCCTTGTTTACCTTGGTTATTGGGGTTGGAGACAATGTGTTTTGTCTCCAACCCCAATATGAACTCTCCATTAACTAAACTTAAATGATAAATAAATCTATCCGAAAATCTGAAATATTTAATGAAATTAATAAATTCATTATTGATCTCCCAACCCCTCCTAATATTAATTATTGATGAAATATAGGATCAATTACAGGATTGTTTTTTATATCCCAATTTATTACGGGATTCTTTCTTTCTATACATTACATTTCAGATATTAATAAATCATTTTTTATGGTGGTATCTATTGAAAATAATATTTGGGAGGGATTTTTATTACGCAATCTCCATTCTATAGGGGCATCTTTTATGTTTATTTTTATTTATTTGCACATCTTTCGTAGTCTATTCTATGGATCATTTGTTATAAATTATATGGTATGATCATCAGGGGTAATCTTACTTCTTTTAACTATAATAACAGCCTTTTTAGGATATGTTCTTCCATGAGGGCAAATATCTTACTGAGCAGCAACTGTAATTACTAATATAATCTCCGCTATCCCTATTCTAGGAAAGCCTGTGGTTATTTGAATTTGAGGAGGATTTAATGTGGGAGACCCCACATTAAATCGATTCTTTTCCTTACATTTTATTTTACCTTTTATTTTACTAGTATTAATAATAGTGCATTTAATTTTATTACACTTAAAGGGCAGTAACAACCCCCTTGGAATCCATTCTTCTGCTTTTAAAATCCCTTTTCACCAAACTTTTTCTTATAAAGATATTTTTGGTTTTATGCTGCCTTTATTTTTATTTTTTGTTCTTATTTTTTTATGTCCTGATTTATTTACAGATGTAGTCAATTTTATCGAGGCTAACCCTTTATCCACACCACCACATATTATACCAGAGTGATATTTTCTTTTTGCTTACGGTATCCTACGAAGTGTACCGAATAAATTGGGCGGAGTTATTGCTTTATTTATAAGAATCATAATTATATACATCTTACTTATATCTTCAAGAAATCTAATCTATAACTCTTTACGTAAATTTATTGCAAATCTTATTGCCTCCTCTTTTATTTTATTAAGCTATATTGGTTCTCAAGTTGTAGAACCTCCTTTCATTGTTATAGGGCAGATTCTCAGTGTTATCTACTTTTTATTATTTTTTATTATAGCTTCTACCTGAGTAACCTATATTTGCCTTGAAAGCAAATCAAGATCGTAAAAATCATTACTCTCGTTAATAAAATATTCATTTAATATAATATAAATTATATAGAAATTTCAACTCTAAAATACTTAAATTACTTTAAGTAATGAATTTTAGGTAAATATATACCTCTAAATCCTAAATTTAGTACACAAATTATGCTAACCTAAATTAAATTTAAAGTGGTCCTTTCGTACTAACTTTATAATATAACAATAAAAGATAGGAACCGATCTGGCTCTCGCCGATCTGAACTCAAATCATGGATAAATTTAATGGTCGAACAGACCATCCATTAAAACTACTGCATCTTAATGAAAAATAATTCAACATCGAGGTCGCAAACACTATAAATTATAAGATCTAATTTACTGTATTACGCTGTTAACTCTAGGGTAACTTTTTCTAAATATCAATATAAAATTGGATCTCTTTAAAATACACTCTATTTTAATATTTTATAGGGTAGTTTTAATTTTAGCCCTAGTTGCCCCAACTAACTGTAACTATATACAGAAGCTCCTAGGGTCTTTCCTTCTTTTTATTAACTTTAAGATTTTTTACTTAAAAATTAAATTCAATTTTATTAACTAATAATAACTTAAAATAAGTCTTACCATTCATCCTAGCAAACAATTAATTTGCAAATGATTATGCTACCTTCGCACGGTCAAATTACCGCGGCCATTAAACTTTTATCATAGGGCAAGCATTACTAAAAACAACTGCTTTTAGCTAAGTTTTTGTTAAACCTACATATTTTAATCGAGTAAATTAATTAATTCATAAACATAATATTTTACTATAAAATACTACTTACTTCTACTAATTAAAGCAAATTAATTTTAATTAAAATTAATTTATATAAGTTAAACCTAATTAATTTTAATTAAAATTAATTATATTTTATATATAACAAACTACAATACACATTAAAAGATTTTATCTCAATTTTATATTAACATTTTATTTATAATGGTTAACTTTACTTAAAAGAGCTCACCCCTATTAACTTCGGAGATTTACTCACCGCATTCTAAAAGAATTATTATCATTAAGCCAGCTATAAAAGAACAAAATGAATTTCACCTTAATAAAATTTAAGTAAAAATTTGAAACTTTTTACTTAAATTTTATTAACTATCTTCATTATCTGGGTAGTTAACAATAAACTTTTTTATCACCTTATCGTGTTGCAACAGGAAACCCTAATATATCTTTATATTTAATTCCTTTTCAGGACAATTAAAAATTTATTTTATAAAAAACTATAATTAAAATCTTAAAATTTTTACATAATTCACCTTTTCAGTGTAAATGAAACGCTCTATTATAGGATTATTTAAGCTATATGTAATAGGCCTTCTTTCAAGAGGGCCTACTTT